AAAGACGCCTTGTGTGCTCCTCAGCGGCCCAGGACACGCCAAGAGGCTTCCCAAATCGCCCCAAGAAGACGCCAGCGGCCCTTAGGAGGGCTACAAGACGGCCTACAAGAGCCCCAAGACGACGCAAGAGAGCCCTGAAACGGCTTCACAGAACCCCAAGACGGCCCCGAGATAGCTCCGAGGGGGCCCCAAGAGACTCCCAAGACGGCCTCAGGCAGCCTCAAGAGAATTCCAAGACGGTCCAAGGCCTCCCGGACGCCCCGTGTCGGCCCAAAATGGCCCCAAGACGTCCCAAAACGCTCCCAGAGCAGCCCAAAACATTAGCCTGGCGAAGAACCCAACCATATGCATTTGTGAGTACCGCAGCTGTGGGTTTCATCTTCAGTGGAACTCCCCATAGGACCACGGAACGTGTGAGGGGTGAGCCGGGATGGGTGCCACTAGGGCGTTCGGTGAAGCTCCCTATGGGGCCGTGAAACTCGTGAGGGGTGTGCCGACACGGGTGGCGGAAACGCATGTGAGGGCCGCCACTGGGGCCTCCAGTGGAGCGCCCCGAAACATGCAGGGGGGGGGGCCGGGATGGGTGGCGGAGACGCATGTCAGCGCCGCCACTGGGGCCTTCGGTGCAGCTCCCTATGGGGTCACGAAACGTGTGAGGGGTGTGCCGAATTGCGTGCGGGTGACGCATGCGGGCGGTGCCACTGTGGCCTTCGGAGGAGCTCCCTCTGGGACCACAAAGCGTGCGAGGGGTGTACCAGGATGTGTGGCGGGGACGCATGTTAGCGCCGCCACTGGGGCCTGTGGTGCAGCTCCCCATGGGGCCACGAAACGTGTGAGGGATGTGCCGAATTGGGTGGGTGCGGGTGACGCATGTGAGCGCCGCCACTGGGGCCTTCGGTGGGACTCCCTATGGGGCCACGAAGCGTCTGAGGGGTGTGCCGAATTGGGTGTGCGGGACGCATGCGCATGTGAGCGCCGCCGCTGGGGCCTTCGGTGGAGCTCCCTATGGGGCCACGAAACGTGTGAGGGGTGTGCCGACTTGGGTGTGCGGGACGCATGCGGGCGGTGCCACTGTGGCCTTCGGTGGAGCTCCCTATGGGACAAGGAAACGTGTGAGGGGTGTGCCGACATTTGTGTGGGGGACGCATGCGGGCGGTGGCACTGGGGCCTTCGGTGGAGCTCCACATGGGGCCACGAAACGTGTAAGGGGTGTGCCGAAATGTGTGGGGGGGACGCATGCGGGTGGTTGCACTGGGGCCTTCGGTGGAGCTCCCTATGGGGCCACGAAACGTGTGAGGTGTGTGTGTGTGTGTGTGTGTGTGTGTGTGTGTGTGTGTCTGTGTGTGTGTGCCGATTTTGGTGTGGGGGACGCATGCAGGCGGTGGCACTGGGGCCTGCGGTGGAGCTCCTTATGGGGCCACGAAACGTGTGAGGCGTGTGCCGAAATGGGTGTGGGGGACGCATGCGGGTGGTGGCACTGGGGCCTTCGGTGGAGCTCCCTATGGGGCCAGGAAACGTGTGAGGGGTGTGCCCAAACGGGTGTGGGGGACGCATGAGGGCGGTGGCACTGGTGCCTTTGGTGGAACTCCATATGGGGCCACGAAACGTGTGAGGGGTGTGCCGAAGTGGGTGTGAGGGGCGCATGCGGGCGGTGGCACTGGGGCCTTCGGTGGAGCTCCACATGGGGCCACGAAACGTGTGAGGGGTGTGCCGACTTGGGTGTGCGGGACGCAAGCAGGCGGTGGCATTGGGGCCTTCGGTGGGACTCCCTATGAGGCCGCGATTCGTGTGAGGGGTGTGCCGAACTGGGTGTGGGGACGCATGCGGGCGGTGGCACTGGGGCCTTCGGTGGAACTCCCTATGGGGGCCACGAAACGTGTGAGGGGTGTGCCGAAATGGGTGTGGGGGACGCATGCGGGAGGTGGCACGGGGGCCTTCGGTGGAGCTCTTATGGGGTCACGAAACGTGTGAGGGGTGTGCCGAAATGTGTGTGTGTGTGTGTGTGTGTGTGTGTGTGTGTGTGTGTGTGTGTGTGTGTGTGTGTGTGTGTGTGTGTGTGTGTGTGTGTGTGTGTGTGTGTGTGTGTGGGGGGGACGCATGCGGGCGGTGGCACTGGGGCCTTCGGTGGAGGTCCCTACGGGGCCACGAATCGTGTGAGGGGTGTGCCGAAATAGGTGTGGGGGACGCATGCGGGCGGTGGCACTGGGGCCTTCGGTGGAGCTCCCTGTGGGGCCACGAAACGTGTGAGGGGTGTGCCGACATGGGTGATGATGATGGTCATGATGATGATGATGATGATGATGATGATGATGATGATGATGATGATGATGATGATGATGATGATGATGATGCTGATGCTGATGCTGATGCTGATACTGATGCTGATGCTGATGCTGATGTTGGTGATGATGCTGGTGCTGCTGATGATGATGAAGATGCTGATGCTGCTGCTGATGCTGCTGATGATGACGATGATGACGATGATGATGATGATGATGCTGATGACGATGATGACGATGATGATGACTCTGATGATGATGATGCTGCTGATGCTGATGATAATGATGATGATGCTGATGATGATGATGGCGATGATGATGACTCTGATGGTGATGATGATGCTGCTGATGATGATGATGATGATGACGATGGTGATGACGCTGATGATGATGATGATGATGATGATGATTATGATGATGATGATGCTGATGCTGATGCTGATGATGATGATGATGATGAGGATGATGATGACGATGATGATGATGATGATGATGATGATGATGATGATGATGATGATGATGATGATGATGATGATGATGATGATGATGATGACGGGAGGAGAGAGGAAGGGGGAGGAGGGAGGGAGGAGGAGGAGGAGGAGGAGGAGGAGGAGGAGGAGGAGGAGGAGGAGGAGGAGAAGGAGGAGGAGGAGGAGGAGGAGGAGGAGGAGGAGGAGGAGGAGGAGGAGAGGAGGAGGAGAGGAACGTGGGTCGACGTCTCTTCAAAACGAGGACCCAACACCACAGGATGGTTTGGAAATCTCAGAACGGCCCGAAAAAGACTCCACAAGGACCACCAAGCAGGCCCAGAGGCGCCCATTAAAAGAGCCATCGGTCAAGTACAAAGCTCTTCTCACCAAGGCTCCCAAGAGCGAGCCGCAGCGTAGAGAGCTCTCCCAGGCACAGCTCCCAAGAGCGAGCGGTGACGTGACCAGCCCTTCACACAGGGGCTCATAAAAGCGAAGGGTGCCACGAGCCATCTCGTGCCTGAGAGCGTGCGCCCTTCGTCACGCTTCACCCAGGCAACTGGGAAGAACTCACTACAGCTTTCCGGGCGTACACCGCCCACGGATCCTCGCCGCACTCAGAGCGCTGCACTTCTCCGTGGGTGCGGGTGCAAGTGCGCGAAGGTATGCGCGTGTGGCACGGAGCCGCGCCGTGGAGGCGCACTAGGAGGACCTGAAGGTCGTGGGCGAAGTCCATGGGTTCGCCCTAGTCTCTCCTACATGGCCAGTGGAAGCGATAGCGAGAATGTCTCAGGGCCTCGTGTACACAAAATCGCCCCTTTACGGCGCCACCACGGGGCCGAATCTGGTCCCAGAGGCGCTCCAGAGGGGTTCCCAGACCGTCCAAGAGCGCTCCAAGACGGCCTCAGTGGGTCCCGAGACGGCCCACGAGGGCCCGAAGCCCTCCTGAGGGGGGGCTCCACGACGACCCAAGAGGCAGCAAAGACGCCCCAAGAGGGCCCCGAGCGCACGCCAAAGAGGCACACATCGTCAAATTCCCGTAGGAAAGCGTATATTTTCAGCATGCCCGCCTTGTGTGCTCCTCAGCGGCCCAGGACACGCCAAGAGGCCTCCCAAATCGGCCCAAGAAGACGCCAGCGGCTCCTAAGATGGCTCCAAAACGGCCCACAAGAGCCCCAAGACGACGCCAGAGAGCCCTGAAACGGCCTCACAGAACCCCAAGACGGCCCCAAGATAGCTCCGAGGGGGCCCCAAGAGGCTCTCAAGACGGCCTCAGGCAGCCTCAAGAGAGCTCCAAGACCGTCCAAGGCCTCCCGGACGCCCCGTGTCGGACCAAAAAGGCCCCAAGACGTCCCAAAACGCTCCCAGAACAGCCCCCCAAAAACTCGGAATGACTTGAAAAAGACCCCCACAAGGACCACCAAGCAGGCCCAGAGACGCCAACTAAAAGAGCGATCGGTGAAGTACAAAGCTCTTCTCACCAAGTCTCCCAAGAGCGAGACGCAGTGTAGAGAGCTCTCCCAGGCACAGCTCCCAAGAGCGAGCGGTGACGTCGGGACACCCTTCCGACCTCTCACACAGGAGCACGCACGCACAGCACGCAAGCACAATAGATTTCCTGGGCTGTCCCCCGGAAGAGGCTCGGGGGGAAAGCCCAGGAACGGCCCCAGAGGCGCCCCAAAAAACTGCAAGAGAAAAGGCCCCCAGGAGGCCGCAAGACGGCCCAAGAGGCCCCAAGAGGCCCCTAGGTGGCCTCATGAGAGCCAACGAGGCCCCAACAGGCCCCCAGGAGCTCGAAAAGAAACCCCGCGAGGCCCACTAACCGTTCCCAAGGAGACGGCAGCGCTCGCCATCAGGCTTCGAAGAGGCAACTGGAAAAAATCACCAGAGCCCTCCGGGTGACTTACTTTTTTCTTGGCCCCAGGTGCTTTCAAAATTGACAAGCGGCGAGACGTACACCGCAGACCCACCATAGCCGTCTGTGACGCTCCAACGGCTGTCTAGGCGGAGGTAGAGCGGAAGGCGGACGAAGAGAAGGAAGCGGTCCAAGAGGGCCTCCGAGACGGCCCAAGACCGCTCAAAGACGCTCCAGACGAGCCGCGGCAATCTAAATCATTGGTTCTTCTATGGTTTCTGAAAGATTTCCACCTTCTCGCCATTTCGAGCGAATACAGACCCAAGACGGCCTTTTCGAGCCAAGACTGGCCCAAGATGACGTGGACGAATTCCACGGGTTTGCCCTAGTAAGCTGCAGCGCTGGGATCAGCGCGTGCGAGAAGGGCGAACAGTGGCAGCGGGCGCTTGCTTTGCTGAGCGAGATGCGGGAGGCGAAGCTGGAGCCCGACGTCATCTAACCTACAATACCGGGCATTGCGCGTGCGAGAAGGGCCATTGGGGGCACCCTCGCCGGGCCCTGGGGGCGGCACCTCGGCGGCTCCGCTCGTGTGGGCGATCCACGAGGGCCCCCATAGAGCCCACGGTGGCTTCCAGGGAGCCCCAAGAGAGCCCAAGACGGCCCAAGAGGCCTCCACGACGGCCCAAGAGACGCCCAAGTGGCGTCCCAGGACAAAGGAAACCGTACATTTTGAGCATGTACGGCTTCTTGGCTTTCATGGCGCTGAAGACGGTCCAAGAGGCCCCCAAGACCGCCCCAAGACGGCCCAAGAGGTTCCCAAGGGGCCCCCAACACACCCAAGAGGGCGCCAAGACGGCCCAAGACGCGCCCAAGACGGCCCAAGAAGAAGGCCCCAAGACGGCCCCAAGAGGGGGACCTCGAACCCAAGATCCCAGCCTGCCGCCCCAAGACGCCCCCAAGAGGCCCCCAAGACGCCCCCAAGACGCCCCTAAAGGCCCCCGGGAGGCCCAAAAGAGGCCCCAAGATGCCCCCAAGCGGCCCCCAAAAGGCTTCGAAACTGCCTCCGAGAGGCCCGCGAGATGCCTCCCTAGAAGGCCAACTCTGGAACACCCCCCCCATCTGGCCCAGCACGGCACCCAACGTTTCCGAAATCGGCCCACCGTGGCCCGGGTGGACTCCCAGGAAGCCCTGAAATTCTTTATTTCACTGTTGGAAAAAACACACCCCACACCTCTTGGGACACCTCTCGCATCGTACCTCACGCCTCCTGGGACACGCTGCGTGCGAGAGAGGCCTGAGAAAACAGCGTCCCTGGGTGCCGCGGGGGGCACGGACGAATTTTTGGCAAGCCCTCACGAGGAAGAGGTGTCCCATGAGGTGCGGGGTATTGTTTTTTACTCGCAGGTGGACTTCCTCTTCTCTTGGAACCGTCTTGGGGCTCCTTTGGAGCTTTCTTGGGGCCCTTTTGGGGCCATCTTGGGGCCCCAAGAGGGGCCTACAACCTGTCACGAAGACGGCCCCTTTTCGCGACAAGTTGTTGGGGCCTTTTTCAAACCCTCTTGGGGCCCTCTTGGGTCCTCCTGAGGGGGTCCTATGGGGGTTGATGGCCCCCTGAGAGCTCTAGCAGACTTGCCCCCGCGTCTGGAGCTCTGGGGGGCTCACTTGGGGCCCTCTTGGGGCCCTCTGGAACACATGCTTGGGGCCCCTTTGGAGCTTTCTTGGGGCCCTCTCTGGGCCATCTTGGGCTGGAAGAGGATGGCCGAAACATCTTTCAGACCGAGCCGCCACAACCCCGGAACGCTTTTTCTGGGACTACTCCCGCACGGCGCGTGTTCCAGGAGGCGCGGGGTATGGTTCTTCCATATAGGTTGCACTCCCTTCCTCGACCTCCTTCTCCTCGTTGCCCACGGTTCCCTCTGCACAGTGGTTGCCGTCGTTTGCCAGTCACGTCGCTCCACCCACCTCTCGGGTTACTGCCGATGCTGTCATATCCGATGCTGCTGCAAACGGTGCTCTCGGCACCGACAGGATCATCGAGCACCCAGCTCGCCCTGAAGCACTACGCAGCAGCATGCGACCTCCCAATACATTAGCAATCGTGGACGGTAGTCCACAGGTCAGCTTTAGTCTTCTTCTCTACAATACCGGGATCAGTGCGTGCGACGGCCCCCTCGAGAGTACTCGGCCTGGCCGCTGGCGCTCCTGGGGCCCTGGTCCGTCGCCGGCGCCCCCGGAACGGTCTTGGTCCGTCGCCGACGCTCCCCGAACGGCCCTCGCCCGCTCGTGACGGATCCACGAGAGCCCCGAGCGAGCCCCGAAACGGCCCCCCCAGGGCTCCTGAAGGGCCCGAGTGGTCCCAGAGGCTCTCCTCTTGACGATTTCGACAAGGGCCTCAGGGGGCAAAAACATTGATTTTCCATGGGTTTTTGATGATTTTTCCGGTTCGGGTTTTTTCGAGCCGGAACGGCTCCAAAGGCGCCGCGAATCGTTTCAAGACCGCCCATGAGGCCCCCAAGAGGGCCCCAGAACGGCCCAAGAGCGTCCCAAGATTGCCCAAGACGGCCCCGAGCCGGCCCAAGAGGGCCCCGAGAGGCCCCCGAGACCCACCATGAGGCCCCCAAGAAGGCCCCAGGACGGCCCAAGAGTTCCCAAGACGGCCCCAAGACGGCCCCCCCGAGACCCACCATGGGGCCCCCAAGAAGGCCCCAGGACGGCCCAAGAGTGCCCCAAGACTGCCCAAGACGGCCCCAAGCTGAGGCCCCCGAGATCCCCCAGGGAATCCCAAAACGGCTCGATAGTGCCTCAAGACTGTCCATGACGGCCCCGCGCCGGCCCAAGAGAGCCCCAGCTCGTGACGGATCCACGACAGCCCCGAGCGAGCCCCGAAACGGCTCCCCCCAGGGCCCCTGAAGGGCCCGAGTGGCCCCAGAGGCTCTCTCTTGGGACCGCCACGACTTTCCCTAGAGCCCCGCGACATTGCCAAAAGGACCCCCGCAGGCTTTGAAAGCTTCCACATGGGCCCGGCCCGTCCATGACATCGCCGCACATACCTCCGAAACCCAATGTTTTCTCCGTGTGTCCTTGCGAATCGACCCAAATCCAGTAGGAAAATGCACATTTCGCTGCTGGCGCCGCCCCGACCACATCGTCGAAAGCACCCTGCAAATACGACAGGTTCGGGCAATTCTCGAAAACACCATGCGCTTCAGGCGATTGCAAGGGACACGCGGGACAGCGCATCGTGAATCCAACGTTTTTTTTTCGGGCCGCAGGTTCCCTGGGACCTTCTCCATCGATCCCGCTTCATTGCCAGACTCCGCGGCCAGCACGCGCAAACGGGGAACCTTGTCCGAACCCTGATGGACATTGATGCCCCACCGACGCGTTTCTTTTGTATTTCTACTCATACCTCCATCTTTTTAAAAGACGATCACAAGACCTGCTTACAATGAATCGAGGAGGGGCAACCCTGTCACACCGAGCGCTTCGGGGGAAGGATCGGAGCGCTTCTGTAGTCACACCGAGCGCCTCGGAGAGGGGCGGGCGGCGCTTCTGTAGCCCCCCCAGGACCGAGCCCTCCTCCTGAACTGCTGCTGCTGCTCCAACTCCTCCTCCTCTTCCTCCTCCTCTCCCTTCTCCTCCTCCTCCGTCCTAATCCTCTGGCTCCACGAGTGAATTCGATTGACCATCCTCCTCTTCTTCCTCCTCCTCCTCTTCCTCCGCCTTTGTCGTCTTTTCTACTGCGTTTTAGTCGTGCGGCCCCCCCGGTTGATATCAAACCCATGGAAATTTCAACATGTTGACGCTGCAGGCGTTGCCCGGGCGGTTTTGCATTGAACGCTTCCGATAAGCGCGATTTGTGTAATATGGCAAAAACCATGCTATTCTGATGGTTACGGGGGGGGTAGCGGGAACGACCCATGGAAAGCCACCTCGATGTAAGCGGCGGCCTCGTCGTCGTCGTTCGGGTGAGCCGACTCGCGCGAGCCCGCCAGCTCGCGCGCGCGCGCGCCGGCAGCCTCCGCCGTCACCGTTGCCGCCGCCGCTGCCTTCGCCGTCGCCGTCGCCATCGCCGTGTGCGCTACGAGGGAACCCGTCGTCTTGCGCGCCAGACCCGCTATTTGCGCTTCCGCTTCACCCGCCTCCCTCCACCTCCTCAAACCGCAGGAGACGTCCGACCAGCTGTTCCCGTTCGGTCCCTGCGGCTCCCAGTCTCGGTGTTCGCGATCGGGGCCCAGCACACCGTGGATTTCATCAACGGGTCAGCCCTGGTCAGCTACAACGCTGGGATCAGCGCGTGCGAGAAGGGAAAGCAGTGGCAGCGGGCGCTTGCTTTGCTGAGCGAGACGCGGGAGGCGAAGCTCGACCCCAACGTCATCTTTCCTACATGGCGGGAGGAAGCGCGCGCCAAACCTGAGGGGGCGCACGTGCACAAACTCGCCCCTGCACGGCCTCACCGCGTGGTCGAATCGCCCACGAGGGCCCATTGGGCGCCCCAGAGCGGATGCAAAACGGTCCGCAAACGCTCCAAGACGGCCTCAGTTGGTGCCGAGACGGCCCTGGCGCCCCAAAGGTGGCTGCACGACCGCCCAAGAGGTCCCAAAGACGTTCCGATAGGGCCCCGAGAGGACGCCACATATGCAACAATGGTCACATTCCGATTGGGACAACGTGCATTTTCAACATATCCGCCTTTTCCGTTGTCACACGGCCCAGGGCAGAGCAAAACGCTTTGCAAAACCCACCAAGACGACCCAAGCGGCCCCCACGAGGGACCCGAGACGGTCCAAGAGGGCCCACAAACGGCTTGAGAGGGCCCCGAGAGGGTTCCAAGAGGGCCCGAAGAGGCTCCCAAGGGGGGCCCCAGGAAACCCCCCAGGGAACCCCAAGACGGTCCAAGGCCTCCAAGACGCCCCCAAGACTTCAAAAGGTGGCTCCAAGACGGTCCAAGAGGCACCGAAAACAGCCCGAGAGGGCCCCGAGAGGACGCCAAAGAGGCAGAACTGGTCACATTCCCGCGGGAAAACGTGCATTTTCAGCATATCCGCGTGTTGCGCTGTTACACGGTCCAGGACAGGCCAAAAGGCCCCCTCCAAACCCCCCAAGACGACCCAAGCGGCCCCCCAGAGGGCCCCGAGACGGCCCAAGAGGGTCCCAGAGTATTCCAGAAGGCTCCGGGGAGCGCTTCCAGACGGCCCGACACGCCCTCCAGAGAGCGCCACGACGGCCCAACAAACCCCCAGAGAAACCCGAGACGGCCCAGGACGGCCCCAAGAGGGCCCGAGGAGAACCCCAATAGTTTCGGCCATAGGGCTCCCCAGTACGACCTCCATGTCCGGCTGCACACAAGCCAGCAGCGGCAGTAATTAGTAACCGCCTGCTGCTGATAAAAAAGAACCCCCTTTTAACACGCTAGAGTTGATTATCCACAGCCAATAAAAGTTTGGTCAGGGGCGCGGGGCGCGGAGGCCGATTTTTTTTACCACTGTGAAAAGTTCACCATCGAGGTCAACTTCCTTCTCGTGTTGAGATATTAACATCAAACGACGCGAAGACGTTGTCGAGGATGTCTCTATCAAGCGAAACCAACAATGTTTGGAGGCAGCCTCAAGCGAAACGATCAGTTTTTCAAGGATGTCTCAAGCGGACCTCGATCCTCGACACTGGGGTCTCGATCCTCGATCCTCGGACTTCGATTCTCGATCCTCGATCCTCGGCTTCCGGTCCTTTTAACATCATCTCGTTCTCCTCCCACATGCTGGCCTGCGGTAGGCATCATGTATAACCCCCCCGCAACCCCGAACTTTATTATCCCTGTGGCATTAATCTCGGGGGCACTCGGTTAGTTAGCAGCAGCAAACAGGCAGCCGCTGCATTGCCCGTGGCCGGCTGGCGGCCATCCCCGCTGCCATGGCGTGCGGCAGAGGGTCAGTTGCGGCCGCCAGGCCTGCCTGCATGCTGGCAGTGATGTCGGGAAGACAACTGTTCGGCTAGCAGCCACGCGCGCAAAACAGCAGGCAAGCAGGCAAGCGATCTCAGTTTCTGCAAGCGGGCAGGCTGTCGTGGACGTAAGTCCACGGGTCAGCTCCAGTCAGCTACAGCGCTGGGATCAGCGCGTGCGAGAAGGGTGGGCAGTGGCAGCGGGCGCTTGCACTGCTGAGCGAGATGCGGAAGGCGAAGCTGGAGCCATACCTGATCAGCTACAACGCTGGGATCAGCGCGTGCGAGAAGGGCGAACAGTGGCAGCGGGCGCTGACGTTGCTGAGCGAGATGCGGGAGGCGAAGCTCGAACCCAACGTCATCAGTTACAGCGCTGGGATCAGCGCGTGCGAAAAAGGCGAGCAGTGGCAGCGGGCGCTTGCTTTGCTGAGCGAGTTGCGGGAGGCGAAGATCAAGCCCAACGTCATCAGCTACGACGCTGGGATCAGCGCGTGCGAGAAGGGAAAGCAGTGGCAGCGTGCGCTCGATTTGCTGAGTGAGATGCGGGAGGCGAAGCTCGAGCCCAACGTCATCAGCTACAACGCTGGGACCAGCGCGGGCGAGAAGGGCGAGCAGTGGCAGCTAGCGCTGGCGTTGCTGAGCGAGATGCGGGAGGCGAAGCTTGAGCACAACGCCGTCAGCTACAGCGCTGGGATCAGCTCGTGCGAGAAGGGCGGGCAGTGGCAGCGGGCGCTTGCACTGCTGAGCGAGATGCGGGAGGCGAAGCTGGAGCCCAACATCATCTCTACTACATTGCAGGCACCCGCGCGTGCAAGAAATGCGGGGGTCCGACGCGCTTCTCCGGCGCTCCTTGCGGGCCCGGCGGGCTCCTGTGAGCCCGGGCTGGCCTCGGCGCTTTTCCAGGAAGGCCCAAGAGCGCTCCGAGACCCTATCGGAACTCCCCGAACGGACCCCAAGACGACCAAGATGGTCCAAGAACGCTCGAAGATGCCCGAGGTAGCCTCCAGTCGGCCCAAGAGGCGCCAGAATTGCTCCAATTGGGCTCCAAGAAGAGCCCCGAGAGAGACCGAACCAAGAGAAATCCTTTCGGAAAACGTCTATGTTGGCACTTCCCGTGCTTCTCGTCTTGAGAGCGCACAAGACAACAATACTGTCCCCCAAGATCGTCACCAGAGCACCCAGGAGGCCCCCGGGAGGGCCCCCAAGACGGCCTAAGGCGGTCCCACGACGGCTCCTGAGGCGCCCATGACGGCCCAAGAGGCTCCCATGACAGGCCCAAGAGGAGCCAAAGACGACCCGAGAAAGCCCCGGAAAGCCCCGGAGCCGCCCAGGACGGTCCCAGACGGCCCCAAGACGGGCCAGGGGGCACCAGGAGGCCGCCAGGGCTCCAAGGAGAGCCCCGATAGAGCCCGAACGGGCTCCAAGACGGCCCAAGGCGGTCCCAGGACGGCTCCTGAGGCGCCCATGACGGCCCAAGAGGCCCACATGACAGCCCCACGAGAAGCCAAAGACGACCCGAGAGAGCCCCAAGGCGGTCCGAGGACAGCTCGGCCAGGGGGCACGCAAGACGGCCCACGAGGGCCTCAAGAGGCTCCGCCAGGGCTCCAAGGAGAGCCCCGAGAGAGCCCGAACGAGGAAAAAGCTTTCACGTCCTCGAGGGCAACGTCCATTTTGGCACTTCCCGTGCTCCTCGTCTTGAGAGCGCACAAGACGACAATACTGTCTCCCAAGATCGTCACCAGAGCGCCCAGGAGGCTCCCGGGAGGGCCCCCAAGATGGCCTAAGGCGGTCCCAGGACGGCTCCTGAGGCGCCCATGACGGCTCAGGAGGCTCCCATGACAGCCCCACGAGAAGCCAAAGACGACCCGAGAGAGCCCCAAACCGAGGACAGCCCCGGAGCCGCCCAAGACGGTCCCAGACGGCCCCAAGACGGGCCAAGGGGCACGCAGGACGGCCCAAGAGGGCCTCAAGAGGCTCCCAGGAGGCCGCCAGGATTCCAAGAAGAGCCCCGAGAGCCCGAACGAGGAAAAATCCCTCAAATCCGAAAGGAAGACATCTTTTCGTTTTGACAAAACAACAATACTGTCCCCCAAGATCGTCACCAGAGCGCCCAGGAGGCTCCCGGGTGGGCCCCAAGACTGCCTCAGGCGGTCCCAGGACGGCTCCTGAGGCGCCCATGACGGCCCAAGAGGCTCACATGACAGCCCCAAGAGAAGCCAAAGACGACCCGAGAGAGCCCCGAGGCGGTCCGAGGACAGCCCCGGAGCCGCCCAAGAGGCCCCAGACGGCCCCAAGACGGGCCAAGGGGTACGCAAGACGGCCCAAGAGGGCCCCAAGAGGCTCCCAGGAGGCCGCCAGGGCTCCAAGAAGAGCCCCGAGAGAGCCCGAACGAGGAAAAAGCTTTCACGTCCTCGGGGACAGCGTCCATTTTCTCAATTCCCATGTATCTTCTTGAGAGCGCACAAGACGACAATACTGTCTCCCAAGATCGTCACCATAGCGTCCAGGAGGCTCCCGGAAGGGCCCCAAGACGGCCTAAGGCGGTCCCAGGACGGCTCCTGAGGCGCCCATGACGGCTCAGGAGGCTCCCATGACAGCCCCAAGAGGAGCCAAAGACGACCCGAGAGAGCCCCAAACCGAGGACAGCCCCAGAGCCGCCCAAGACGGTCCCAGACGGCCCCAAGACGGGCCAAGGGGCACGCAGGACGGCCCAAGAGGGCCTCAAGAGGCCACCATGACGGCCCAACAGGGCCCCCCCTGAGAGGTACGGTTCTGACAAGGCGAAACAGAAGCCCCGCGGCGCGGCCACACCCGTAGAAAATGAACCCCGACTTCGAGGTTTCTTTTCTGACGCCCTGGTGCGGAGCAATCAACCCTCGCCCAGGACGTTCGCCGGCTCGCCACGTCCACGGAATGCCAGCACCAACTCTGAAGCGCGGACGGGGCGCAGACGTCTCGCACGGATCATTCGTGTATCAACAACGCCCACGAAAAATCAGAGTGAGGGGGCCGAAATGTCATTCATTGTCCATGGGCGCGAGGCTGAATGAAGCATCCGTGGTGAGGAGTATGCTATTTGCGTTGTTGTTGTTGTTGCTGTTGTTGTTGTCGTTGTCGTTGTCGTTGTCGTTGTCGTTGTCGTTGTTGTTGTTGGTGGTGGTGTTGGTGTTGTTGTTGTTGTTGATGCTGTTGTTGTTGTTGACTGTAAATTAATAAACAATTATTATTGTTGAACCCCTTAGAGGCGCTTTGGCGCTCTTGCCGAGGCGCCGGCTACATCTTCATTGTAAACGGGGCTCACGCTCGAGCGGTGTGGGGGACCGCCCAAACCGCCCCCCCCAACAACAACAACGCTCCCGCTCGAGACTTCTTCCTTTTTTACCCAGGCCTGGTGTTCTTGCTCGCCGCCGAAAGCCGCCGTCCTGACAAAAACAGGGCTCCCGCTCGAGCCCTCCTCCCGTTTTATCTGGGACTGGCGCGCTAATCTTTCTCTCATCGGCGCCGCCCCCAGCACAAACAACGCTCCCGCTCGAGGTTTCTTTTTTTGTTTTACTCAAGGCGAGGCTCCTCCTCGCCGCCGAAAACAGCCGCCCCGACAAATCCAGCGATCCCGCACGAGATGCCCTTCCGTTTTACGCTGGATTGGCGCCCAATTCCTTTTTGAATTGGCGCCGCTCCTAGCAAGAACAACGCTCCCGCTCGAGGCTTCCTCCCTGTTTCCTGAAGACGGTGCTGTTCCTCGCCGCCGACAACCCCCGTCCCAACAAAGCCACGGTTCCCGCTCGATGTTTCTTCCCTTCTTACTCTAGGCGGTGTTCCTCCTCGTTGCCGAAAACGGCCGCCCCGACAAAACCAGCGTTCCCGCCCGAGACGTCTTTCCGTTTTACGCTGGACTAGCGCCCTATTCTCTTTTGAATTGGCGCTTTTCCCAGCAAGAACAACGCTCCCGCTCGAGATGTCCTCTCTTTTTCCGCAGGACGGTGCTGTTTCTCGCCGCCGACAGCCCCCTTCCCGACAAAACCACAGCTTCCGCTCGATGCTTCCCCCCTTCTTACTCAAGGCGGTGTTCCTCCTCGCCGCCGAAAGCCGCAGTCCCAACAAAACCAGCGTTCCCGCTCGATACTTCGTTTTGTTTTAATTACGTTGGACTAGCGCCCTACTCTCTTCAGCATTGGCGCCGCTCCCAGCGACAACAGCAGCCCTGCTCGAGACTTCCTCCCTTTCTATTCAGGGCCAGGTTTTTGCCTCACCGCCGACAGCCCCCATCCCCACCAAGGCAGCCCTGTCGTTCGATACTTCCTTGTGCTTTACCCTTCGCTGGGGTTCCACTGGCGGTCTCGCATCGACGCAGCAAGGCGCGGGCATTTGTTTTCGAAGAGGGATATGTTGAAATTCCTCAGAGGAGGTGTTCGCAAGACCTCATTGGGCGGGAGATCTGGGAATGGGAATAACGGACCCCGCTATAGAACAAGAGTCCCCCATGATGTGGATGGTTATCATGATGGACGCATGCTTCGTGCGGAAACATCGCGCGTGAGGGTAAAATGGTTGTTGTTGTTGTTGTGGCTGTTGTTGGTGTTGTCGTTGTTGTTGTTGGTGTAGATGTTGTTGTTGTTGCTGCTGCTGCTGTTGTTGGTGTAGATGCTGTTGGTGTTGCTGTTGCTGTTGCTGTTGCTGTTGCTGTTGCTGTTGTTGTTGTAGTTGTTGTTGTTGGTGTTGTTGTTGTTGTTGTTGTGGTTGTTGTTGTTGTTGTGGTTGTTGTTGTGGTTGTTGTTGTGGTTGTTGTGGTTGTTGTGGTTGTTGTTGTTGAATTCTCATTTCTGAGAAATAATGATTGTTGATCCCCCAAGGGTGCATATTGCTACTTCTCAATCAAAGTGTGCCCCTCGACGCTGGCACCCTGTTTTATGACAGGGAAATCTTGATGCTCAAACTGCGCCCCTGGCCCCAGGGTTACAACAACAACGGCTCCCGCCGGAGACTTCCTCACAATTTAGCCAAGACCCCGCTCCCGCCCGAGATTTCTTCGCATTTTATTCAAGAATCGCGCTCTCGCTTGGGACTTCCTAGCAGTTTATTCAGGACTTGCTCTCCCGGCGCGCTGGAGTCGCGCTCTCGCTGGAGACTTGCTTGCAATTTACTGACGGATCGCGCCTTTGCGTTGGAATTTCTTGCCATTTACTCAAGCGCCGCGCTCCCGACACCCAGGCACCCAGGAGTCGCACTCACGCTTCGGACTCCCTCACGGATTACCTAGGGGTCGGGATCTCGCTGCCCTTCGTGGCCCCGTTGCAGCCCTTCGCGGCCCCCTTGCTTTGTTTCGTGGCCCCGTTGCAGCCCTTCGTGGCCCCTCGCTTTGTTTCGTGGCCCCGTTGCAGCCCTTCGTGGCCCCTTCGCTTTGTTTCGTGGCCCCGTTGCAGCCCTTCGTGGCCCCTCGCTTTGTTTCGTGGCCCCGTTGCAGCCCTTCGTGGCCCCTCGCTTTGTTTCGTGGCCTCGTTGCAGCCCTTCGTGGCCCCCTCGCTCCCCTTCGTGGCCCCGTTGCAGCCCTTCGTGCCCCCATCGCTCCCCTTCGTGGCCCCGTTGCAGCCCTTTGTGGCCCCCTCGCTGCCTTTCGTGGCCCCGTATATTGTCGAGGGTTTGGGCCCCCCCCCCAA